GTCCAATTAGAGAGAATCCCTTTTACTCTTTCCTTTGAAATTTGAACCTGGAAGAATATCACGTTTCAGTTCCTGCTGCTGCCTTGTAATTATAAAGGAATAGCGTATCTGAGAATGGAGTCAACAATGGCAAAAGTCAGAGATGAGAAAGGAAAATGAAAAAAAAAAAAAGGTCTTACTGAGTTATGGATCAAGTACACCTTGAAGCCAGATCTTCCCCAAGAATTTTCAGTTATGTGAGCTAATTAAGTTTTCATTCATTCACAACTAAAAGAGTTCTGACGGATTTGGCATTTGACATTTATTGTCTCACCACAACAGCCCTAAAAAGAAGGTATTAGTATCTGATATTATAAATGAGCAAAACACACACCACAAAGATTAACTCACACAGTATTACACAATTAATAATTAGGGCCACATTTGCTGATGGCTAACTCCATGCTTTTAACCCTTAAACCTTTAGTTGGTAAACTTTAGTGTACTTTAGAAACACTGAGACTCACCCCAGATCTAATGAATCAAAATCTCTATGATGGATCAGAGAGAATACACATATTTAAGTTCTTGGGTGATTCTGATGCAGGGCTCATGGACAACTTGTTAAGAAATATTTCCTTTAGACAAAGGTGTGACTTCAAGAATACTGCTGCTTGATGTTCTGATACTATGTCCTTATTAAACAGCCTTTCTTCTGGAAGATAACACTTGAAGTCTTGTCAGTGATCTAAACTACAAATCAAAGGAAATCTTTTTCTGAGAAGAGCTCTGTTGGGAATAGGAAAAGTCAGGAAAAAGAAAGGCTGTGAGCAAGGGAGGCGAGGGTGGAAGACTGAGCACTTAAAAGAGAAGGGGAGGCAGACAGAGTCTTGAAATTCTATTTCACCAATTATTACCTAAGAAATTCCTTTTTGTTTAAGGTGTGTGTGTGTGTGTGTGTGTGTGTGTGTGTGTGTGTTAGGTTCAGATCCTACATAGAGTTTATATATGTATAGAGAGATTCAGGAGTCTTGAAAAAAACATACAGACATCTGCTTGGTTTTCTAGTTACAGTGGCTCATTTGACATGAAGGATAATGTTTAATTATTGACTTTGAATAGACATTTTGCCACTGCTAATAATATTAGCTAGATTAATGAATTGTTCAAGGGTTATAGAGACAGAAAGACACGTTGAGAGCTATTGTTCATCAATGTTTAGATAGCCTTTCCCAGAATAGTCATGTAAACCACAGGTGTCATTGTAAAATCTTTCCTGCTTGCCTATCATGTCTTGGATTTTTTTCTCTCTGTCTCTTTAAATGTAAATAGAGTATTAGTTGTCTTTTGATACAGGTATTATTACTGTGAAGGTCAGAACTGTTTTTGTACGTGATATTCTACAGTGTTTCCACAACATAAAGGTCCTACAAGTAGTCTCTGATACATAGTAAGTCTTTTTTAAATTTTAATTAAAAATTTGTTGAAATGTTTACTTTTGAGAGAGAGGGTACAAGAGACAGAGTATGGGGGGGGGCTCAAGCAGGGCAGGGGCAGAGAGAGGGGGACAGCATCCAAAGTGGGCTCTGTGCTGACAGCAGTGAGCCTGATGTGGGGCTTGAACTTACAAACTGTGAGATCATAACCTGAGCAGAAGTTAAAGGTTCAACCCACTAAGCCATCCAGGTGCCCCTTGATTTTTAAAGCTGGAAATACTTGAAGTCTTCATCTGAAGCCAGGCTGGGCACGAAGGCAATGAGGAGGGGCACAGAGTTGAACTCCACTGTAGGGATAATATGTTAGTTAATAACATTTCCCACCTCTCATTTTTTTTAAATACTTCTTGTCCACTCAAAATTGAAGACTTGAATCAATGTGGCTTAAGGAGATATTTATTTTAAGGGCCTTAAGCTCACTATTGTGCCAAAGAATTTTGAGACCATGCCTGTAGTCTCAGTCTTAAATGTGTGTAATATTCCAACCATTGACTAATCATGAGTTTAATGTGTGTTTGGAAAATAATTAAGTTCATTATCAAAGTGAGTATTTTTCCAAAATACTTTTATTTTAAATTGTATCTCCTTTATAGATGATGTTCTTCTCCACCCAACAGTTTGACAAATAGGTATTTTGATAATTTTAGTTTGCACTGGTGGCTAGTGTTCACAGGCCTCCTCAACTTTATAATCATTGTAGAGACATGGTCCTTCCCTTTATAGTTGAAATCAGATGCTGGACTATATCTGATCATCCCTAATACAAGTCCTTTTATGAGTACACTCCCTATAATACCCTGCCTGTCTCTAGACATTTAACAAAATGGTAACTGATCACTTACAACATTATCTCTGTGCCTGCCTTCCTCCGGGGAAACCATGTAAGAGTGTTGAGCCTCTCTGCCTTCTTTTAAAGCCAGCAAACTGAAATGTGTTGAATGAAAAGTAAGATTTCCATCTGAATATATGGAAGAGGTTCTCATTAGCTCAAAGGTGTATGGTGCAATGAGAAAGCAGCATAGACTTTATAATACTTTATTTTTTTAAAACACACACCACTGTAACAATTATGTGAACATCTATCAATCATTTCAGTTGAGTGCCTAGCCTCGCTGATGTAGTACATTGAAATATGGAAGGTAATGAGCAAGATTTACAAAGCAATCCCACTACCAAGGTGTTTTTTAGAAGATTGGTATAAATAGGATATCTCTAATATTTGTTTAAAATAAGTTGGAAGTATATCACAGATTTTAAAAATGTATCTTCTGTAATATTTTCCAGAAGAATGACTTGCCTTTCTTCTCAGGCCAAAATCATGCATATAGCAATTTGTACAGTGGTCAGGGTGAGATTAGATGAGGCATCAAAGATTTTCAACATGATATTTTTTGGGGACATTGTGTGAGAAAATGGCCTGAGGAATTCTCCTCTGGGAACACAGAGGTCACTAACAAGAGAGATAATAGTTCATAGACATTAAAATGATGCATCTTAACTTACTCCATGAATCATGTTCAGGGTGCCTGAGTGGCTCAGTTGGTTAAGCGTCCAACTCTTGATTTCAGCTCAGGTCATGATCTCACAGTTGGTGAGTTCAAGCCCCATGTCAGGTTCTGTGCTGATTCTCTCTGGGATTCTCTCTCCCTCTCTCTGCCCCTCGTAACTTATACTGTCTCTGTCTCTCTCAAAATAAGTAAACTGAAAAAAATAATAAAATAAATCATGTTTCATTGCAGTCTCATTCCGAGGTGAGGTTCATCACCTTAGAATAGCAGAGGGCTTGTCTTCAACTTCTAGGCAATGCAAAAAAGCTTGGAAATCAGGTGAGGCAATGGGGGTAGTGGGCAGCACAGGGATTCACCGAGTCCTTTCATCCTGCTTTAGCACATCAAGAGCTAAGACGAAAGGACTTCACTCCTTTATTTTTCCTCTAGTGGAAAGAGATGTGGGGTGAATGGAACTGTTTTGAGAAGTGAGGTTGACAAAGGTAAGGAAAGATACAAAATGGCCCAAGAGAGAGCCACATAAAAAGATCCCAGACAGGAGATCCAGAGGGTCACCAGTCCAGAGCCTTCCTAGATGCCCCCTAGCCACTGAGCCAAGAGGCTCACCACTGGGCTGCTTGTGGCAGGGCAAGATCACTCCTTCCGTGCAGAGTCAGGAGTAGCCCCCCAAACCAATGGGCTAGAGGAACACTGTGGAAGACTCTGAAAAGGCCATAGCCCACAGGAGCTGAGTGTGGCCTTCACCAAACTGAGAGGTTGGATCATAGACTCCAGAAGCTGCAGATTTCAACACACTGTAGAAGGAATCATCTTGAGGGACAAACCATCTGTTCACAGAGAGCAAAGGGCAGAGAGAGCCCTTCTCCCAAGGACACCACCTCCCCATCGCCTCCACTAGGATGCATAAAGCCTCTTCCTCATCTTCACTCCAAAGCCTTGTTAAGGTTGACTAGAGAGGGCCAGGTGGCCGACTGGGAGACTGTCTAAACTTATTCAAATGAAATGTTGAATTTTTTTCTTAAAGTGGCTATTCAGATTCTCAGCTCAATTGGATGTTTGAATATTTATTTAATTTTTTTCCTCCCAGCTATTGGAAAGGGCTTAGAATAATGTTCAGGTTACTTAAAACCAAAATAACAAAATGTTTTCTCTGCACATCTAAGTTATGAGTTCAACTTGTCACCTTGCTATAGCTTTTAAAAAGTTTAAAAAGACGAAAGTCCAGCTATCCTTAGTCATATTGAGATCATATATAGAACCATAAAGCCTAGAGTTACAGGACATTTGGAGGTTTTTGAAACCCCCTCTCACCATTCTCTTTCAGGAATTACTGCTATTGCCTGCTTGGGAAATATTGCTTTCCACTTATTTGCTATGAAAAGAAAACTGCTCTGAAAAACAAAGTCTTTTAAAAAAAATTCCTCTAGTATCGTCTTAAATTATTCTAGGGATAGAAAGGCCATCGTTAAACAAAGCATAAAATATGACTCTCTTATGTTGAAATCTGATTTTTCTATTTCTTTTACCCATTTCCTCTGGAACACCTTTAGGCAATCTCTCTCTCTCTCTCTCTCTCTCTCTCTCTCTCTCTCTCTCCCTCTCTCTCTCTCTCTCTCTCATTTTCCCCCTTTCCCTGGGATGTAAGTCAGCAATTACTTAGTTCCCACAACAAAGTCTGAGGTCATAAGTGAGGACAGACAGTAATTTAATGTGGCAAAGACTGAGGTATCATCTAGTTAGTTTGGTGACAAGAGCAAACCATAGAAACTACAGGCCACTACTACACTGCTTCCTAAACATAATGACTCAAAGCTGTTTTTCCTCTTTCTCTGAACTAACAGACTTTCCTTTAAAAAAAAGAATTCAAAGTACAACCCTAATCTTGGTAAAGTTCCCAAAGGTAATCTGAAACCTTTCTTCTTAAAATCTAAGTGAAACGTAAAGCAACCAAGCCTATGCAATGTGTTTTTAAGTAATCCCTTGACATAGTAAAGTTCAAATGGCAAAGTCAGACAACTTGCAACAACATAATACATTTGTTTATTTCATTAATATTACAATGGTAACATGTTAAGAGCACTAGATTTGTATCCTCTAAAGAGGATAATGATCAAGATTTAGGTTTGTAAATTTCATTGTTCTTAACCATTAAAAATCCATTTTCCAAAAGAGTAGTAATATATATTATTAAGGGACAGGTCTAAACTTTATGATGTATAACCGAAAGCATACATTTGTTCATTAGTTTAAACAAAACATTAGAGACCTTTTAACTCCTCGTTACTGCTTTCAGGAAAGCACAATGTTCTTGAAGCAAATATTACACAAAACAACTTTTTTTTTTCCATAGTGATTTCAACCATTGTGTATCATGTCCATGACAGCCCCAGATTTAGTATCGCCCAATGGTTGTAAAACACTCTGGCTTACTTAAACAATCAATCAACAAACATGTATTTAGTGCCTACTATGTACATGCCAGCATACCAAAAGCAACACAGGAAATACAAAGAAGTAAAATTAGTGGTCCTTGCCCTGCTCAGGCTTCCAATGTAGTTGGTAAGATTAAACACAGAGACGAACTACTCTACTTTCAATGTGTTTGAAAGAAGGGACAATGTTAGCCAGAATGTATGTTAGAGTCACCTGTGCTGGAACTTAGAAGAAGCAGAGGCATTAACCAGGGACATTCTCAACACTGATTAAAATCTGTCTGAATCAGATTTCTGAGCTCCAGACCTGAGTGCCGCTTGAACACCTATGTCTGAAAGTGCTCCTGGCAGCCTCACATCTCTCACTGCTGGTGGCTGTATTTGGCAATTGTTTCAAGGACTCATGACAATGGAGCAAGATAAATATACGCAATATGTAGAAAACAGAAATAAAGTCATGTATAGGGTGATGTTGAAAGGAACTCGGGACATTCCACTCTGCATGGGAGGAGGCTAACCCACTTACCATTTATTTATTACCATGATGATTATTATAAAACAAAACAAGACACTATGTAAGAATAAGATAAAAGAACCTCCAAACTTCACTGAACACAAGCAAAAATAGAAGGTAAGAAGAGAGGGCCCAACAAAGAGGACAGGTTCTGAGGGGGCCTTGAGGAGAGAGCTTACCCCCACCGTCACCTCCAGCCCCACCCTCAGTGTCCTGAAGAAAAGGCCCTGGGCTAGGTAAATAGAGAAAAGCAAAGCAGAGTCACGTTTTCAAACACCACAAATAAATAAATAAATAAATATGTTAATCGAGAAAATAACTTATTAGGCACCGCTTGAAAGGCAACAACCTTCAGGGGCCAGGCAGGCTTTAGCCTGCGGGCGGCAGCAACGCGGTCGGGAGCGGCCGAGGCTCAGAAGGCTCCACCGAGGTCCTGGCCCCGGTGCCTGGTGTTCGAAATAAACCCGGGCAGGAAACAGAGTTTGTGGTTGCAGAATGCTACATCTGCACCTCCAGAAGCTTAGGTGAGGGAGAAATCTTAGCGTAGCTCCAGCAGCCTCGACTCCCGGGCGGCCTCGCGGAAAGTGCGCCCTGCCTTGCCCGGCCTAACGCAGGCCAGCAGCGTCCCGGGACTGCCCCGCACTTGGTCTTTGAAATCAAAAGCGCCGGTCGTGAGCCGGAAAAGAGGGCGATTTCCATTACAGTCCCTCCCCCGCCAAACCCTGGAATCTTCTCAGAACTCCTGGGTCTCTGGTCCTCAGTTCCTTTTTGCCCCAGGTGGGGTTTGGATGGGGACTGCAGAATGCCCGGCGTTCGAAGCTCGGGACCGATTTTACTAAGCACCTGGCTCCGCCCTGGGTGGAGCGGGAGTGCCGAAGGGGTTCGGGAAAGGGCACCACCTCACCCGAGAGTGGAAGCAAAAGACCTACTGGCTAGTTCATTCTCGAGTCCTACTTGCCTTCAAACTGGGCTGCGCAAACGGAGAGCGGTGATTCTCCAGACTCCGCTAGGGGCACCAGGCGGAATCCGGCTAGCGGAGGGGCGCGGCGGGGCGGGGCTGAGGGCGAGCTGGGGACTCAACCCGTGGGAAACCCGAGGCTGTGACTGTGGCTCCCCTTAAACAAAAATAACGGCTGGCCGGGCTGCGGGTCAGGCAGAGGTGGCGACGCGTATGAGTTCATGATCTGCACCTGCAAGACGGGGCGGAAGGAAAGATGGAAGTTACAGAGTGGGGGGCGTAGAGGGGCGCAGAAGTGCAAGCGCAGGGTAGGAAGGAGCGAAGGTAGCAGACGGAGGAGAAAGGGGCGCGCAAGCCTTCCCAATCTATAAGCAAAGTGCCCAATTCCAACTTGGTCGCGCGACTCTCCCGGGTCTCTCCACCCCACGCGCACAGTGTCATAGCCCCGCGTTGCCCCACCGCACCCAGACGCCGGGGATACTTTCACCTCTCGCACCCGGCCTCCCTTTCTCCTCATCTTTCTCTTCCCGTGGAGCAGGGCCCTTGCGTGGCCAAGGCTCAGAGAGTCGTGATCCGAGACGTACAGGTGCCATTACGGAAGACACCGCCTCCAGACTCCAGGTTCTCCGGCTGGAAGTCCTCCACGCTGTACGCGCGGCTCTTGAGGGCCGTGGCGTAGTAGTCGACAGGCTCCTCGGCGGCGTTGTCCATCCAGCTGAGGCACAGGATGCGCTGGAAAGAGCGCTTGAAGTTGTCCGAAAGGAAGCCGTAGAGGATGGGATTGGCGCAGCTGTTGGCGTAGCCGAGGATGACCGACAGCTGGCTAACCGTGGCGTCGTCCTGCTCCGCGAACACGTTGACCAGCTGCACTACATAGAAAGGCATCCAGCAGATGACAAACACCATCACCACCATCATCACCATCAGGGTGATCTTGCGCTCCGAGCGCTTGCGCTGCTGCCAGCCGGCCTTGAGGGCCACCATGCGCATTTTGGCGATGATGAGCACGTAGCACAGACAGATGGCCCCGACGGGCAGCAAGAAGCCCATGAGAAACGTGTACAACACGAAGCCCACTAGCCAGCGCTGAGCGGGCTCGGGCATGAGCATGTTGCAGGCCACCGTGCCATCGCTGTTGGCCGCCGTGCGCGAGAAGACCACGATGGGTAGAATGACAAGCAGCGACAGCACCCACACGCCCAGATTCACCACCTTGGCCACGGTGGGCCGGCGGTAGCGTGCTGCCTTGATGGGGTGCACCACAGCCACGTACCGGTCCACGCTAAGGACAGTCAGACAGTAGATGCTGGTGAACATGTTGACTGCGTCCACGCTGAGCACGAGGCGGCAGAGCAGCGCGCCGAAGGGCCAGTGGCGAAGCAACGTGGAGGTGACCAGGAATGGCACACTGAGCATGAGCAGCTCATCGGCAATGGCCAGGTTCAGGATGTAGATGTTGGTGGCCGTCTTCATTTTGGCGTAGCGCAGGATCACGTAGATGACCATGGAGTTACCACACAGTCCCACCAGGCACACCACGGAGTAGATAAAAGAGATGAGGATGGCGCTGCCCTGGCCCTCGCTCAAGGTCCCGTTCTGGGACGCATTTCGCCCCGGCTCCTCCATGCCACTCGCGGCGCCGGCCCCGGGGCCCCTGCTGCCGCCGCCTTCGCCGCAGCTGCCCGGGCTGGGGCTAGGAGAGGAAGGAGAGGAGGCAGTGCCATTGGGGAACATGTCAGCTAATGGGGACCAGCGGAGCTACTGCGGCCGGAGCGCTCTCCTTGCGCCCCCGCCGCTTGCGCTCCCACTCGGCACCCTGCCCGCCTGCCCGCAGCTCACCGCTGCCAGGCACCTGGGGTAGCACGCAGCGGCTAAGGGGGGCTTGGCTCTGACCGGCGCCGGCGGGGCGCATTGCCTAGCGGCTGCTTGCGCGCCCCCGCTAGCCCGCTCCGGGGCGCCTGGGCACACGCGAGCGTGGAGAGCGGAGACCGCGAGGCTGGAGCCCCGCACCGCACAGCCATTAAGTGGCGCGGCTGTGAGCTGGTGAATGATTAATAGGCACCACCAGCGCGTCAGCAGCTACGATAAGGGAGGGGTGACGGAGAAAAAGAGGGAGGAAGGCGATGTAGGTAGCTTACCACCCCTCGCCCAATTTTTTTCCTTCCCAGTCCTCTGCTCAGATCAACTCGAGCAGCTGCTTCCAGGGGGTCTCTTGCAATACCCTTTAGCCATCTCTCGGGGGGGACTGGGGAGTTTCTCCGCCTGGAAGGTTGGGTGGGAACCAAAGGTGTAGAATCTGTCCCACCCCGGCTCCTGTCCAATGAAGCAGACCCCAAACACAGATGTCCGGAGTTCATCTCAGTTTCCCTCGGTTGCTGGCCCGTCCTGAGAGACCCCCAACTCCATTCCCGTCCAATCGTCCGGGGCCCCGACCCCCCACCTCCCGCCCCCGCTGGCCCTACCCCTGAAGACCCGCCGCGGAAGCTCTCAGTCCCCCTTACCCAGGGCGCGCTACCTCCAGACCGACGCGTAGATGGCCCGTGCAAAGTGCCTGTGCGGTCTGGTAGCACGGTGACGTTCTCCGCGCGGTCCAACTCCTTTCTTTGGGCGGGACCCCAGCACTGGCGCCCACGCAGATACTCTTAGAGTCGCTGAAACTGACCCTGAGCCGTGTTAGGAGGAGGAAGGACAAAAACCGTGCGTTAGGAGCTTCTGCGTTACAACACCGCAGGCTGCTCTTCGCAGGCGGGAGCGATTTAGGGGCCTGAGTAAAGCATCGCGAATCTCTTAATAAAGCTTGTGGTGCCCAGAGCCCCCTGCGTCTCCCAGACGAATACAGACTGCAGAAACGAGGACGCGCGGCTGGGAGCTCGCAAGGAGCCCGAGGCTCCCTCCCGAACGTGCCAGGCGCGGTATTGGAAATCCATCTAGGTGTTCACTGGGGAAGGATATGGCTGCGCCGCTTGGAAAGGCTCCGCCTGCGTCCCTGCTGTACTTTGTACCCTGGAGAGTTGGAGGGCCCCAGGGGAGGAGAGTGTAAAGGCCTGGAAGAGCGAAGATGCCAACTCCTCCAAACCCACTCGGGGTCCGCTGTGCAGGCGACCAGACCGGTCACCAACTGCACAAACTGGCAGGGAGACCTTGGAGTCTTTCTGTGAATTGCCAGGATTTCAGCCTTTTCTGAGGCCCTGGACGTGTGACCCCGATCTAGTTCCGAAACTTTCAAGAGACAGAAATCGATGGAGGCACGCCTAGAGCTCCCTTGCCTCATTTAGGAATTGAATGGTTTCTGTGGAAGAGAATGAATGTTCTATTACCATGATTTTTAACTACCTTAACGACTTCCCAGCATCCCTAGCCTAGGCTCCCCTTGGCCTTTCACTTGTTCCAGTCCAAGGAAGAATCACTGCATCCAGCTCTCCTCTCCTATCCCTTTTCAAAATCCCATCAAGTCTTTCTCTGACACGCGCCTGTTCCCAGGAAGACTGACCTGCAGCAGCCTAGTGCTGGACCTCTCTCAACTCTAGCATTGTCTCCTGCTTCTTTTTAGTTCCTCTTCCTCCCAACCACTGAGCAGTGGGTCTCAACTTTCCCTCCCATCAGTGCAGGCCACCTGAAACAGACTAAACTCCCCACTGAAGCTATTTTGTACCAGACAGTCCAGAATGCAGAGACGGTTGCAGAAACTGAAAACCAAAACAAGAACAAAAAGCAAAATTCCTATTACCCCCTTGCTTTATCTGAGCAATCATTTGCATATATGTGTTTTAGTTCTCAAAACTAAATGCTCCTAAAAGGAACAGAATAACTTCTGTAACGTGTTGATTATAGCAATCAAAGATAAATTATGGCAGACCCTCATAGGAAGGTGTTCAATGAACACTGAATTATTAATGAGAAATGAGCTAGGAAGGGATTTCAAATGTTACAAGGCCAAGCTATTTAACCCATTGCTTTATCTAAACAAATTACTTTTTACCTTTTATGAAAATGGGGTGTGGAATTGAGAGTTAGTTGTGTTTTATTTTCCTTTAAAAAATGCTGAACATATGGAGAAAAAAAAGAAATGTCCATCAAGTTTTTAAAAAGTGGCCTTTTGCCCCAAAAGAGCTTTTTACAAGCCAAGCCTCATAATTGTTTAGACGCCTCTTTGCCAATCACTGACTAAAGACACCTGGCTATTCTTCAGGGGGCTGACATTTCAACAGTCATCGTTTAGATGCCTTGGCATTGATCATGGTTGCTCCAGGGAGAGAGGATGTTGGGAGCCAATAAAGCACAGCTCCGTTGTTGACTCTCATATGTTCACTTTGCAGCTCACCTTAGGGAAATCTCGTCCCAATTTAGTGGTAGCCTCATATAGGAAAGAAGAAAACCTAAGACCAGACATAAATGTGTTTTTTGCTTGTTTGTTTCTGAAGTGGTTTCTATGATGAATTATTTATCCATAAAACAGATGGACAAGGAAATATCACTTACACCCACTAGAATGGCTTTGGTAATTTTTTAAAGGGGGGAAAAACAAATGTTGGCGAGCATGTGGAGAAATTGGAACCCTTATATGTTGGCTGTGGGAATAAAAAATGATGCAACAGCTTCAGAATGTTTAATGATTCCTCAGAAAGTTAAACACAGAATTGCCATATGACTAGCCATTCCATCCCTACGAATTTACCCCCCAAATTGAAAATAGGTACTGAACAAAAACCGGCTCAGTAACGTTCATAGCAACACTATTCATAATAGCCAAAAAGTCACAACCAAATATCCATCAGCTGATGCATGGATATACAAAGTGTAGTAGATCCTCACAATGGATTATTCGTCCAAGGAATGGAATGAAGTACCAATAAATGAGCCTTGAAAACATTAGGAAAAGTGAGGGAAGCAAAACAGAAAAAATTGTGTATTGCATGATTCCATTTATCTGAGATGCCCAGAATACGCAAATCCATAGAGAGAAAACAGATGAGAGGTTGGCAGGGGCTGAGAGGAGAAGTAATGGGAATGACCACTTAATGGGTACGGGGTTTCTTTTTTGGGTTACGGAAATGTTCTGGAGTTAGATAATGGTGGTGATTGTACAACATTGTGAATGTACTAAAAGCCACTGAATTGCACATTTTAAAAATGGTTAAAATTATGATTTTTATGTCATGTGAATTTTACTTCAATAAAAAGAGAGTGATTGAGATGGGTATGAGCCATGTAGTATTATCAAGTCTTTTCAGTAACATATTTCTTAACATCATATCTGTGAGCAAATCCATGATAAATTAAAACAAGCAAAAGGCAGCATTTCTGGGCTAAACAACATGAGATTGGGGTTGCAGCTGTTTTTAAATTATATTAGGAACAGGAGCCCAGTTAGGAATCTGCCTTCCTCTCAGACCTTCATTTAATGTCTCTTAATGAAACAGGAACACTAATGTAGGCATGGGATTGTTGTAATGTGTCAGGAACATGGCCTTTGATGTCAGGACTCCATAATCTTCATGTCTGGTTTAATAACATTTTAGGGGGGTGGGGGTGCCTGGGTGGTTCAGTCAGTTAAGCGCCCTACTCTTGATTTCAGCTCAGGTCATTATCTCAGTTCCAGGAGATCAAACCCCACATTGGGCTCTGCACTGACAACTCAGAGTCTGCTTGGGATTTTCTGTCTCCCTCTCTCTCTGCCCCTACCCCAATCTCTCTCTCTCTCTCTTTCTCGCTCTCTCTCTCAAAATAAGTAAATAAATAAACTTTAAAACCTTTTTTTCTTAACCCACATATCTAAAGCCTGGAAAAGCTTAAGATAAGCTTGTTTTCTCTGTGAGAGTTAATTCCTGCAATCCACCCTTCTCTGGTTACTATCTTTTGCATGCTTCTGTGATATGAACATTTCTAGAAATGAGAGAAGAAAGATGATGGCCCCCAAGAAGGGGAGAATGGAAAGTCCTAATTCAGGAAGTTGCAGATTCTTAGGTGAACTGATTTTCTTCCCCATCTCAATTCTCCTATGAGCTACACTCCCTTGTGCTCTCGTGTCTCAGCTGTGCACTTGGATTATTGTATTTATCACACTGTGCTGTGATTTCTTGGTGTAGTTATCTGTCCTCCCCTCTAAATCTGTAAGCTTGCTGAGAACAGGGACTATATTTTACTTATCTTTATATTCCCAGCTCCCAGCGCAATACCTCAAAATTGCCCAACACCTCCTTGTTTCATTTTTCTGAGGTATCCCGTGGATAATATCTTCTTTTCGTTCTAACCCATAAGATGTAGATACAAAGAAATGAACTCTTGGCCTCCAGCAATGAAAGTTTTAATATCTGTGCAGTATCATCTATAATAATTTCTTATACATTTAAATCATTCTGAACAATTTCAATTTGCATGTCCTATATCAACAATTACGCTGATGACTCCTTCATTGATCATTCTCGGTCTTAAATTTCTTGGCAGAGAAAGGGTTCTGGAAAATGGGTGGCACATACTTTAGTAGCTAATGATGGTTATTTAATAGTATCATGCAGTGTGAAAGCCATTATACATGGAAGATTGTTTCTTTTTAATTGCAGTCCCGGGTCTCAGTTGGTTTGGTGGAATAGTAATTATCAGGAGCTCAAACTCTGCTTCTGTCAAAATCATTACTAATGTGGTTTTTCTAACTGGAGCCCATGGTGGTCCTCAAAGAGCTCCTCTAATCTGTGCCCGTGGTAAAAGTGCAGGTTGAGGCCAGGGATTAAACAGAGCACTTCGTGGAGCGTCCTCTGTCATAGCATCATCACAGTTGTGTTTACAAACACCTGTCTGG